GGGGGGGTAGTGCCATGTGGCCCCAAACTCAGAAGGCCGTATTCTTCCTATATTTGATTTGGGGTTCTGACGGCGGTCAGCCTGTATTGGTTTGTGCTGCGCATGCTTCATCCATCCTTGCGTCACTTACCAGAGGGTTGCACTGTTGCAGGAGAACTCCGACGTGCTGTACAAGCAGGAGTCCCGCAGGAGAGCCAAGAGGAAAGCTTGGAGGGAGTCACGTCACAAACAGACTTCTGTGCAGACAGGTGAGTCTGCGTGTGCGGTGGGGTCAATGGGGGTTCACCTGGGATGGTTTGCGTGGACGGGTGCACTGGGTTGATTAGATGGATTGCTTGGACAGCACGGGTTTAATGACTCGTTGGATTGATTTGAAAGACGGAAGACGGTAGATGGGTGGCTGAATTGTGTACGTGGTCATGCTTTCTCTACGCTCAGCACGTCTGAGAGCACTTTTCGCCTCCTAATGGTTTTGTGCTGATTGCTTGAACTTTGGGTTTCATAAGAAGATTGTAGATGCATGAACTATACGCTAGGTTCAAGGAATTATAAATGAAATCAGGAAGACTGCGACGAATTGCACCCTTTTATTGAAGGAAAGTTAACTTATAATGAACCAACTATTCACTGTTACGTGATTACGGTGGATGTTTCCTGAGAAAGACAAGGAGTCGGCATAAGGACGCAAGAAACTCGCACACACCGGATGAAGGTTCTGGAGGGCCAGTATGACTAACGCTGTGCTGGGCCTTATCTTCATTCCCTCACCGTGTTGAGCTTAAACAGAGGGGCAACTTTACTTTTCATTTAATATTTTATGAAATCATTGTTGCGGGGTGAGTGTGAACTTGGCGTTTGTATTTTGTAACAGAGAAGAGCCCGTCTTTGGAAGCAGAGCGGAGTTTCCAGGTGCTGCACCACATGGCGGGCAACCCGGAGTGTCTCGGCTACCTGCTGAGGGGCTTGCTGAACCATATCTCCTCTCTGCTGCAGTTGCTACAGAACCTTAACGAGACGACCCTCCATCGCAGCATGGCCGCCCTCCTGCACAACGTCCTTAAGGTACAAGGAGACAGGAACTTTGTTCCGGAGGGGGAAGTGACTAGAACCTGCTCAAACTGAAAGAAAATGGCGATGCATCATTTCGTCACGAACCGCAGCGGGCACATTCAGAAAGCTAGGCTGTTTATTTATGAATATAAATTTACAGAATAAAAATTATCTACTACTGATTATCCCTGTATGCTCCATAACTGAATCCTCTGTACACCATCAACATACCTGTCGCAAAGACCTTGCAGCCAGTTGTCGGTGTCTTACCACGCATTTCTGTCCTCAGACTGCCATTGAAACTTACGGAATTCCTCAGCTGCCATTGGAAACCAAGGAAGATGCGACGTCGCGACGCAAAGAATTAAGCGCCGCGCTGTGCCTATTGCTCAAAGTGTGCCTGAGTCTGATCCACGGGGTTCACGACCTGCAGTACACAGCCATGGTCACTATCAACAAGGTGATTGACGCATGCGTGGTACATCGTCTTGCGCATATCAGAGTGAAGGCGTCGGAGGCTCTGCAGCACCCTTGCAGTGAAAGGTAAGGTCGCATCTGCATGTATTGCTTACGTTGTAACGTCCGATATCGTGACCGACAATTCCCATGGCTTTCTCAGTTTGTTTTAGATTAGTAACTTACAGCAGGTCATGGCTGATACCGACCTCATACCAGCAGGTACGTCGGCATATAACTTACTGACTCCATTGCATTAGAACAAGTCATACCGAACAGGCTAGCATAGCGGTTCCAGTCTTGGCCGGAACATCAGTTATCCTAAATGAGAGTTTCCGTGATTTTCCTCATTGCTTCCTGGCAAATAGCGGGGTAGTAACTAGATTAACCTTTCCAAAACATTTCAAATTTGACATTCATTTTACTATTCGCTGCCGTATACTCTAGATACATACAGCAAGGTAAAGTAACCCACGAGAAATAAGAATCTTAATATATAAAATCTCTGTGTACATTTTTTGTCTCTGATCTGGTTGCTATTAGACTGTAACTGGTTTTGTGTCACAGATGTGATCCATGTATACCGATGTTTCGTTGCCTCGCAACCGTTCAACTCTTCAGATGATCACTATGAGGAGCCAGGGATGTGAATAAGGCGCTGTTCAAGACATTTTCACGGCAATAAGCAGTTCGGCCAATTCAGTATAATCTACTGTAAGGAAATCAGGCCGACGAATGATGGCTTTCACTTCAATAGGTTGTTAGGATGTGAGCTGGCTCAAGAGAGATTTCTCAATGGGATCCTTTCGACATGACAGTGAGGAAACTAAGGGTGTTGTAGCGTTTTAATGAGGATATCTTGTTCACCTGAAAAATATGAATTGCTAGAGGAACATGTGACAGTTAAATAACGTCTTATTACATATATGTAACGAATGTTTCGTGTGTATGTATGTGCTGCTCTTGTTTCAAACGCAGGTTTTTGACTTGATTTAGCAACTCCAGCCTTCAAGATAAACTCAAATCCCCTTTACTGCTGTCGTATTACTCGAAATTCAAGCCTCCAGCAACACACTTGCAAATCCGAAAATCGCTGCGCTGACATCTCTTTGATAAATGTTGCTACAGTCCCCAGCTTCCCCTCAATTTGTCAACTCACCTTGGCATTTCAGTACTACTAACTGCGTTAATATGACGGCTAAAACCATTTGCAGGAGACCCGGAGGATGCCAAGTTAGAATTCGATTAGAAATTCAGTTACTGTTTGCCCGCCGTATCGTTTAGAGCTTAAACTTAAAGCTATCCTTTGGAGTTACGGTGAGAGAATTGTCCGTTGCAGCGGAGAAAATGAGAGTTGGTCTGTCCAAATGGCTCAAGATTTTTGTACCGTGAAGATGGAAGCAGTAGGTTCATTCAAATCCCCATAAACATACACGTAACTACACGGCGTCACATCACAGGGCATCTTCATGTTCAAATCTTCTCCGCAAAAAGAACAGACTGCATGTTCAAGCACAAACTGTTTATATTTGCGGCATATTTGAGATATCATTTATCCCCGTCATTCCAGAAACCTGTTACACTGACTCCAAATGAATGCCACTGGGGGCCCGCCTTCTATTGTTAAAGCGGCCGGATCGTGAAGCTGACAACTCGTTTCCTAATATAAAATGTAATCTGATTTGAGACGCCAGCAGTTCTGGAAACAACCAGAATTCGGACGCCCCAACCTCCTCACTCCAGTTCACTTCCTGAGCCTAGCACAGAGACGCGTCTCTAGTGTTGGACACCCGAGCTTACTGTTCGATCCGCCTAAGAGCGTGAGTTCGCACAGCCACCGTTACCGAAAATATTCGTATATCAAATATTCAGTCTAAACCCTGGCAGGAGTTGTGTGAAGACAAATAATCTAACGTGTCTTATGAAACTGATTAAAGGATACGGGAAGTAAGCCAGTCCCGAGAAAATCCTACATAGTCCTCGGAGCTTCACAGAGAAATGTGTAAACACTAATTTGTTCGCGAACTGCTGTAGACGTTCGGCCGAGACCGACTCACGCCTAACCTACGCTTGTGTGCAAACACTGTTCCTTTGTACACATGCATGTTTCTCAACAGGTGAGTGATGCGCAGTTAGTGGCATATCATTCGGAGCGGAACACTCAATCAAAGTAAAAGAATATACTCTCTGAAAGGGCGCGCCATAGCCCAAGCGGTTAGTCGCTGGCTTCCCACCGCGGCGGCCCGGGTTAGTGAGATTTGTGGTGGACAAAGTGGCGTTGGGGCAGGTTTTCTCCGAGTACTTCGGTTTCCCCTGCCAATCTTCATTCCACCCATTGCTCCACAATCACCCTCACCTATCATCTGGGGCTGGCACAATAGGCCAGAAGTGGCCGCAGTACAACTGGTCGCGGTGCATGGTGAAACCCACCCCCTCCAATAATAATAATAATAAGATCCATTATATCGTCATGGGTTGGTAATTGGATTTATTAAAATCTTACAGAACGTAGCTACAAGTAACTACAGCGCTATCTTTAATTCACACATTCTGCAATTAACTAAAAGCACACTAAGTCTTCGCAGTCTATTGTATCTTCACCGGTCGTCGATTGGTAACGGCTTCAACGCCGTAGTTTCCTTAGCTTCCGCGTTCACGTCCTTACAGGCCAGCGACTGTCTCATAACTAATTAAACACCACACTTGGTCTGCTTAAACACCTCGGCACGAACCGCACAGAAAACACCTCTCCCACCAGTTCTATTGTTGCGTCACGTAGCAGTCGCACGAACAGCGTAGAAAACACTGCTTCCCAATTACTCCATTGGTGCGTGTTACGAATCTGTTACGGCCATTACCTGCCAACGGCCTTTATTTACAGATCCACTACTGAGCAACGGGTCTCCATGCTACACTATTTAAAAATACGTCCTAAGATATTTTCAGACGTTTAGTTGGTCACAGTTTGTTTTTTAAGTAAGAAAATAAATCGTTACATAACAGGATTCATGAAGCAGGCATGTGAATCATAATGGAAGCCTATTTTAATATTATACCTATAAATACATGTTTCAGGGAGTCGTTTATCTTCTTCGTACACATTATTAAGTCGGCGTTTCTTTCGGTGCATGGATCTATATTGAGATTGTGCCTCATCGTTACTGGTACGCAAGAACCTCGTCCTGAAGTGGAACTTGTAACTACCTGTCTTCTCCTTTTTTGTCATTTCACAAAGATCGTAAATGTTCAAAGCCATGCGCTCTCTGTCGATTTCTTTCCTTGTGCTTCTTCAAAGGGTCTGATTTCCTGTAGACAGAGAGCGAGAGAGGCGGCGCAGTAAACAGGTCTGCTGATATTTCTATTGTTGCAGTCACACTTGTGGAGCAGAAGATAAATCATTCTGGCTGTTGAGTGATCACAGTTGTTACTATGAAAATTGGTAGCTTCGGGCACGTGAGGCCCTGTAATCGAAGAGGATTTCACCGTAATTTCAAACGAAAAGAGGGTCAGAGCCTATATTTTTCGCCTGTTTCCTATTGGTTACTTGCTCGGCCTGCTCTTCGACACTGAAGATGGACGCATTATATCCCTCCGAAGTATAAGTGAACGTTTACTGATTCCATGCCATCACATGCTAGAGGATGGTGTTCTCTACAATTCATTCCTTTCTATGCAACCTACAGAAGAGCAAAGATGTCAGTCACAACGGTCACCTCACCTGGACACAATATGCCCCCCCGCGCTGTGTNAGGTATAGCTATCCCTGTAACAGACCGTGGGCGCCCGTAGGGTTTCCAGACAGTCGGCACAAAGATGGCGGTGAGTTTGTCAGCCTCAAGAGCCGGCCGCCCTTTACCCCCAGGAAGATTCCTGGTACTCACTTCTGTTACAGGCTGAGGCGACCCCAGGGCCATAGTGCGGCTGGAAGAATTGAGTCAATTGAAAAATTCTATGATCTCATCGGGAATGGAACCCACGACCTTCCGGCTTGTAGTCTGAACCAGCTACGATACCGCGTGACCCCGTCTCCGCTGTATATATAGAGGGATGTGCCTCTGGATCCTTCAGTTTCCAGAATTATAACACTTCGTAACAACTACATCAGCTAGATGCATGCTACACAATACTGTGATCGGGAACAATCATTTTCAGTAGAATTCCGGTCATTTTTTTTTTACAAATTAATTTGTTTCTTTGAACTCAGTTTTGTTTTCTCAATTTGAGCCTTATGTGTATTTTGCGTAGTCATGTTTACTGTAAATATGGAGTGTTCCTTTAAAAATCAATTATATTTATAATCTGAGGTCCAAACATGTACAAATAAAAAAGAAAAATTCGAACTGGACATTCTCACTCGACGGAGTCAATGAAGTGTCCCCAGCAACCTCAGTAGTTTTGTTATATTTTCTCTCCTACTGTGGTGTGCCTGTTGCAGTGGCGGTTTCGGCCCGGACTCTAGCCACGGTCAGAAACAACAACAGCAGGGGCCCTGGGGCAGTGAGCCCTCGGAGACCGCATCATCTTCGAGGCCCAGCGGCGGCAGGACCCAGCGACTTGGTGCTAAGAGACTAGGGTCAGTGTGGCGCCATGCTGCCGGCGAACACCTCGAGCAGGTCCGAAAGGCTCTCACCGACGACTTCGACAAGGAGGAGAGCGTCATAGGTACGGTGCCCCTGCCCGACAGCACGAGCAAGACGTTCTTGCTAGTCGAGAAATTCCCCAGAATTGGAGAACCCCGAATAGTGACATCAATAGCCCGTTACTACTGAGGCAGATTAGTCCAGTTCACACATCCAGTCCTTGAACTTGCACTATGTAGGTCTCCCGAACGGGTTTATGGATACGTTTTGTCTGCGTCTCTCAACACCGCGCACCATACTGCATTTTCTCTGCATCTCGTCCTCCTTGGTCCTTGAAGGCTACGAATTTTATAACTCAACACGTACAAAAAACGTACATAGGCCTGAATGCCTGCTTCTCTTTCACTGTTCTCACAACATCCAGTAATTGCAGGATCCAGGGTAACCCGGTCGGTACGAGCTGGACTAGCCTGAATCTGGGATTGTATTCCTGGCAGGTACAAGAACGTTTCGCCTCCACTGAGCTTCACGCATCCTTCAGTCGAAAGCATGCGGGAGCTTTGTGCCTGGGTTTGTAGTGGCCAGATCATGAAGTTGGCCACTCACTTCACACACTGCTCAGACTAAGAATGTGTGGAGCTGTGCGTCTACCGCCCCAGCACATCTTGGCATGGTGATTAATTCTGCACAGGGACCGCACTTGCCTTCAGAAATGAAAAGCAGTTGTAGAGTAAGATAAGGCTCGTGAAGTTTTATTCAGTGACTCTCTCTACCGAGCGAAGTAGGTTGGTGAATCCCAATGAGATAATTTGTTTGTAACACGGTAAATGTTCGCCTCCACTGTGCAGTGTGTGACAGTGTTGAAGTATTTGAATCAGGTGGTGTTGTTTCAATGCTTGTTGCAGACGTGCTGTCCAGTGCCCATGCCCTGTCTGTGGTGAATATTCTGCACAACGCCTTGACCCTCTACAAACGAGTCGTGGGCAGCAAACAACAGTGTTCTCCCAGCCAGAGGTGAGCAGGTGAGACACACATGCACACAGACACACTGGTGAGCAGGTGAGACAAACATGCACACACACACAGACACTCTGCTCTTCAGAGCGTCACAGAACACACGCAGTATTAAGCACAACACCTTGACCTGTTTACGCCCATTTCACGAATGTCTTAACCTGCTATGTTTCATAACGCCACTTTGATAATCAAGAACGAAGAACGCCGAAAGTTCTTATCGTGTCCTCTCCGGAGTTTTCCAGAACACAGAGAACCCCAGGTAGGACCTCTGAATTCTTGTGGACTTGCCGAGAGTGAAGCATGACTACTAACGTTGGATTTGAGGTTCTCAGAGCGGTAAGTGTGAAGCGTACGGCCTACGGAGGAAGGTATTGCATTCATCTTCAGGTCGGGAAGGAAGCTAAACAAGACACCGACAAAAATCTGACAGTAAGTAGACCTGCTTGTTTATTTTTGGTTTCTTGCTTGACTTACTATTCGACCCTGAAGATGACGATAAAATCATACGAAATGCTTGTGTTTCACTGGAAGAACTGCATGGCCTCAGGACCCATGAGACCTGCTAACCATTTCTCTGACAAACTTAGGTAACGCTCTGAATGGAAGGATATGCTGAGAAAGCATACGCAACAAACACTCCTCAGTAAGACAAATCCGAGACGTGATTCTGTGCCTAAGAATGCATCTGGAAGGAAGGACACGTTTCTAGTTTAGGAGCACGAGAATCAGGAACTTGCAATGTTACACAATTGTGATGGCATGAAGAGACACATCTGAAAATGCAATATACGTATACAGGATGCTTTGTTGGCTTAATGAGTTACTGAGTGTGGGTGTGAAACTTGGTCTCTGACATTAAGGGAGGAACATAGACTGAGGGTGTTTGAGAACAGGGTGTTGAGAATATTTGGACCGAAGAGAGATGAAGTGACAGGAGGTTGGAGAAACCTGCATAATGAGGACCTTCATAACTTGTACTCTTCTCCAAGTATAATTAGAATGATCAAGTCAAGGAGGATGAGGTGGGCAGGGCATGTAGCACGAATGGGGGAGAAAAAGAATGCATATAGGATATTGGTGGGAAAGCCAGAAGAAAAGAGACCACTGGGAAGACCAAGGCGTAGGTGGGTGGACGATATTAAAATGGACCTTAGAGAGATAGGATGGGATTGTATGGGTTGGATTGATCTGGCTCAGGATAGAGACCAGTGGAGGGCTCTTGTGAACACGGTAATGAACCTTCGGGTTCCATAAAATGCTGGGAAATTCTAGAGTAGCTACAGATTTGGCTTATCCTCAAGAAGGGCTCAGCTCCATAAGTAAGTAAGTAAGTAATTAAGTGTTACTTAGTTATTATATTCCTCTAACCAGACATTTCTTGGGTGTGAACTACAACTCATTAGTAATGAGGATACAGTCTCATATCTATGGCATTCCTGTGGTTCACGTTACTTTGGATCTTGCAATGAATCGAGCCTTAAATTTATGTATTTTTATTTTGGGGACCGTCAGATTCAGAAGTGTGAAATGTTTCTCCATTTCGTACAAATTGCTGTCCCATGATGCATTTCCATGAAACGTATATTATTAGGAGCATGAAAACTCTAATTTGGTTCCTCACTATATTCGGGAATTTTGCAGTAAGAAGAGGTAAAATATTTTTCTCAGTTACTGTGGCAGGAAAGCGTTTAGTTTCAATTTATATCTTTTATATGCTCTATGATATAATGGTCCATTTTATTTCTCATAGCTGTGGCCTTGAGTTTTGTGCTCTGGCTTAGACTAAAAGCCTCAAAATCTGGCTGAAAACTGTCTCATACAGGTCACAATAGAATGAGCACCTAAACGTACCGCGGTAACTGTTGCTGGAACCGCGTCATATAGAGTCCTATTGGGATACAACAACCCAAATATAAGCTAGGCTTAAATAAAGATTTTAAAATTTTCTAAATAATAAAATATGAACGAAAGAGATTACGATTGGTCACACAAGAAAAGTAACGTTACAGATTAGCGGCCTCCGTAGTCTAGAGGTAACGTTCCCACCTCATGGCTCGTGGTACGCGGGTTCAAACCCGGCGGAGGTCGTCGAATTTTTAAGGGCGGAAAAATTCAGGGAACATGTCCTCCGGGAGGGACTTTAAGCCGTGGGTCCCGTGTCGTAGCTTCACGGCACGTGAAAGAACCTCATATCTCCAAAGGAGGTCACTGAGCCAAATTCAAGGACGTTTCCCGCCCAACAAGTAGTCTCTAACGCCTCTGATAGATGGGGGAAGCATTATAAATACCGCCAAGCTAGTGGAGGCCGAACTCGCTGGCTCGGTCGGGACTGATGATACGCACCAATATCGGTAGGATATAGAGACTGGTAGAATATCATAGAGGGAAGCACAATGGACCAATACTGGTCTAAGTGCATGGGGAAATCCACCCTCTCCAATAACTAACTAACCAACGTTACAGATTAGACGCTACCGATGCGGTCATTGGATTTTTCAATTAATCTAATTGTGGATTGGAAGATAATATTAACATAAGTCTTAAGGAAATAAATTTTGAATGTGTGGACTGAGTTAATTTGTTTCAGATTATATTTCGGCTGTGGGATATTTTGCACATGATATTGAACAATTCGATTTCTTGAAGTGTAGGAATTTCCTTGATAAACTGGGCTGCCCTCTTCTTAGAAAGGTCTTTGCTTCGTATAATGAGCAGAAATTGAAGATAAAAATTATGTGCAGAAGTGTAAAACTGCAAGTGAAAACGCTGGGATTCTGTGACTCCCTTCTGAAATGAAGAATTCAATTCTGCTTTTATTTTTCAACATCACGACTTCAGTCAGTGGAATCATGCTTGTCACTCTTACAGATGGCGACACTGCAGCTACCATTGCCTGCAGATTCTAGCTGCGCGCGCATTACTCTTCATGGTGGAAGGACCAGCGGTACAGATGCAGCTGGCTCAGGACCAGCAGTTGCGCATTCTGGCTGCTGCCCTAGACTCGACCCATGACCCGGTGAGTGTACTGTCATACACACAAAGTTGTCCGCAGTCATTTGAGTTCTAAGTGTACAGATACACAGCAGCCTTGCCTTCAGCTGCACCACCCTTCCATACGTGTCTCGTTATAAGATCTCGGCTTGTACGAACAGAAAACACGTAGAATTGCTTCCGTTGGAACGTGTTTTGTTTGTGAAGGCGTTACCCATTAACGCCTATGGTATATTTACTTATCTCGTGGTCGTTGCCCAGTAGCGGCTCTACATGCTCTCCTTATCTGGATACGTCTCTGTCGTGCAGTCTGAAGATATGCAATTCTGTGGTGGCAAATAACCGCACAAAATGCAGTGTTCACACTGTAAGAAGGTGAGATACCGCAAGCACTCCTTCTAAGGTATGGCTGTTTCTCCACAGCAACTGCTGGTGCTGGTCCTCCAGATCGTTGCGACACTGGCCCTGGAACCGCAGCATCACAGGGCTCTCATTGACCAAGGTCTGCCCGACGTGCTCAGTCAGCTACTTCTGCCCTCTGACGAGTGGTACTACACAAATCACAGCACCAAGTATGCGAGGTTCGTGAAGCACCATGCAGCGCGCACACTTGTGTACCTCGGTCTCCAACACCGCGTCAACCTCCGCATCAGCGTCTATGACATCCTCTTGGGTAAGTGTCTTTGAGTTCATCATTGAACAATTAAATATTTACGCCACTGTCACGTCCGACTTTGCGTCCATCTTCTTTGTCTTCTCTTTAACGTCAGTACATATTTCGGCCCCATCGGCCATCAGCAGGTGTACACGTTGTCGCGATGCAGAGATCGGCCGGTCTGCTCTAAAGTCTGATTCTACGTTATCTGGGTTAGCAAGCACTTGATGGGCTATATTAGTACAAATATTATGTTGTTGGACTTAGCACCAGAGAAGTGGTGCAAAGCCTCATAAGTGTGTAGCTTCAATAACTGGATATATTCGTAGCTCTCGCAGATGGTTTGTGCTATGTTTGGTTTATGAACCCCTTCCTGAAACTGGCATAGATTTCCGGAGACAGGGCCCAACTGAGTGACTTCTACACAGAAGAAGGAGACAGAATTCAGTACCCGAAACGCTGTGTTTTGAAAAATAAGCAGGAAGGATTTTAGGCAGAGAGACGACGAAGGATAATGTCCAAAAACATAATATTTGTACCAGTTTACCATGTCAAAAACTTTTAGATCTGGTATGGGTTATATTAATTCTGTATATTCGGTCTATGTGTATATGATGTTAGGGTTTTGTTGGTGTGTTGATTTATCCTTATTTCGGTGTGTGGCTGCCCTGAAAGTTTTTCTGTGCAGTCTGGTGTTCATGGTAGATATTTCTATGACGTAGCTTGTGTTGATACCTAAGAGGGAGGGCGTGTTGTGTCATGTAATGCTTTGAATATTGGGTTGTGTCTCTCGGTGTTTCTTTCTTTCATTTGAAGTAATCTTCACTGATCTTGTATGTGTGCAACCTTCCCTTTTCTGTGTATTTTTCTGATTCCACGTTTCATATGTGGTTTCAGTATCCCGAACTAATGTTATTTCTAACTGGTTGTATATGTTCCTTGTATCTCGTGCGGAAAGCTCTGCCCGTCTGTGGGTGCTGTTTCAATATGTTTTCTATTATTTTGTGTTCTGAACGCTGTTTTTATTTGCATGTCCTTGGATAATTTTGATATTTTTCTTGCTCTGTTTCTTCTGCTGTATGTGAAGGTGGCCCATTTCTATTTCTGGTATTGTGGGTTCCTGCCAGTATTTTGTTTTTGTTTTGCGGGTTTGGATGTCTTGTGATTTTGTTCATTATATATTTGTTGATATCCAGTGTGTTTTTATAATATTTAGTTCTTCGTTTTGCTTCTGGGGTGCACTGTCCCGGTGTAGGTCCTTTTGTTTTCCTTCTCCCTCTCTCAAATGAAGAATGTCTGTCATATCTTCACCTGTTAGCTACACTGCTGTCTACATGTGCAGTCAATCCTAAGAGAAGAATATTGGGACCATGTCACAGCCTAGGCGGTTGGATCCTGGAGCCTGTGGTGCAACCTCATACTCAAAAGAACTAGGTCAGCCGTGAGCTTCGTGGCCTCACCAATCCAGGAGCCATTTCATGGCGAATTAAATTGTTCGCTCGAGTGCAAATAATACGGAAGCAGCAAAGTAACGGGTTCGTGCCTGCAGCTGTCCTTAGGGCGAATATTTTTGTAATAATCATGACAGGAAATTGGTGGTGTCCTACAGGACGATTTTGATAACGATTTCACTAATCCGTGGAATGTCATGTTTTCATGTCCACATTCGTTACTGAATCAAGAGATGGAAGTGTACACACTCATCTCATTTGTAACACTGAAAATAAATAAATTTATTCAGACCTCTGAAACTGAATATGATATAAAAATTTTTGTATAATCTTCAAACAAAAAAATATCTTAGATTTAAGATTTAAAACACAAGTCTTCATAACCTGCATTACAGCATCTGCTGGACCATAGAGCGTTTTTCTTGACGTATGACAGTTGGCGTTACGAATGGTCCAGAAAGCATAGTGATACCTTAATATATTGCTGTTATCTAATTTGGTTCTGGTTCCCAGATGAAGTACCTCCCCCTACGCCACTTATGGAATCTGTGGAGGACACCTACATAACCCTGACATCAGCACCACCCAGCATGGTGGTATGCAACGAAACTAACAGGATCCTGGGGCTCTCTGTTGAAGGTGCAATTATGCATGCACTTAAAATTCTTGAGGTAGGATATTATTAAGAAATTTTGCATGTAGTCTGATGCCTTAAAGAGCAATTATTCATGTTATTGAAGGTTTTGAGGTGGGCTATTATTATGCAATGTGCCATACCCATTAAATGACTTGGTATTAGAGAGTACGTTCTTTCACTTGTTTGTGTAGACCAGCGGGGTGTGAGATACGTTTGCGGGCTTCACACGGCCCACACATTTACGAATGTTTTCTGTGAGCTAATTACACCAACAAATGTATAAATATACGAATACAAACTTCTAGGCAACTAGTGCTCAAGTCATTTCACAGTCTCCTATGCAGAACTCCCAGTCAACTGAACTGACTGGCTAAGAGTCAGAGTCACTTTACGACTGGCGGTTTACCGCCAATTACTTCATCTTCGCGACAAACACCTCGAGACTCACGACCAACATTTTTTAACTGAATACTTTATTTCATAGTCCTTATGTAACAGCCTCTCTCACGAGAGGATGGGTCTGTAGTTTACAATTACTGCCGGTCCTCGCCAGCGCAATCATTCACAGGTCCGACTCCCACGGGACTCGTGCCCATATTTTACAGTTTCAAATTCGATACTGCCCCAACTTACAGGACCAGGTCCCCGTATTTGCATCCTTTAGGAACACAGTGGCCCGTTTATACTCCTAGACACTAGGTCGCCCCATTTGTCTTCCTTATAACCCTTCTGTACGGACCGACTAGCAAACACATTTTCTAACAGTAACTCCACTCTTGCGTGCATATTCGTTGTCGTGGAAACGTGCTTACCGAACCGTTGCTTACAGAGTCATCTTCTGACAACGGGTCTATACTGCAACCCGTATATATATATATGCCATTCCGAATAAATGTGGGAAAATTGGCAGTTTTTTCTGAAGATCACGGAAATGTGATATGTCGCAGTATCTCACACTAAGAGCAAAGATATTATCTCGGTTATCTTAGTATGTGAGCTGCTCCTGAACAGCATGAATTACATTCAGTATGGATATTGCTTTCTAATGCCTGCAGTCCGAAGCATGAAGCTAGCTTTCTGTGAACTTATGTTTCACTTATATTCATTTGCTATTTTGCTACTAAAACTGATGCTTAGTTCAAATAACAATTGTAGGTATTTAAATAATTAATCACTGTAGGAATAATAAAATTAATTAAGTGGGTAGGCCATGAATATCTTGAATTGCATTTCTGGAGGACTCTGTGGAATTTGCTGTTAACTGTACGGGACTCCGAAGACGTGTTCATATAAGCTTACCGTTGCAGTTTGCTGTGGTCAGTTGCAGTGGAGATGACTGACAAGCCGGGCAAGGCTTGTAATAAATATTATCTGTAGTGGTTTACACAATAGGATTCAACATACTGTTATGAGTAATTCAGTTCTATTTTATATTATCTTCTGGGTTTCAGCCCGAATTTCTCTCAGTGATTAGAACAGTTTACGTTATGATTATGCTGGCAGACATATAACCTTGTTTCACTCAACTCGGTCTTCTCTACTTTCTGTAAGTGAGAGTTCCTAACTAAGTCAGACTCAGTTTGGTGGACTAAGCCTCCGAAAGGGATGAGGCCCTATGCGGTCATGAATGTAGGTTACAACATCATTTCCAGAACGCAATAATATGAATTCACCAGTGAAGTTACTTTACTTTAAATTTCATTATGTAGACATACAGCATTGGAAATATGTTTCTACTTTCAGATGTCTATCAGTCAAGGTACTACGTCAACAGAGCTATCTACACTACACTGGGTACTCAGTGGGAGCTCCTACACGCACATGTCTGCTCGAGGTGGGTTCCATCACACTCAGTGCAGTATCTCCTGTCTCCAGAGACAAACACTGATTTGAATAGCTTTGAACCAAACAATTTCTTGCCGATCTGCCCCCTGCACACGGAACGCTCCACGTATTTGGAAATTTCTTATGCAGTCTAGGAAACATGGCAAGGAGACCGTTTTTGTGTGACACACTTTTTTATCAAACGTCACTAGAATTTCTTCAGTATTTTTAGTTTATTTTGTATTGAGAACAGGAGAGTAATTTACGTAAGTTAACGAAACAGTTTCTTAATATCCTTAGGCTCCTGAGTGCTCGTTAATTTTGTAAAGAATTCCTAGTATAAGCACACCGTGATTGTAGTTGAGCTGTACTGGTGATGTGAATCTGCTAGGAGGCGGAAGGGGTTGTCATGTCGTGACGTACAGACGACTTGCTTTTCTGTTTTATTGCTAGTGGGGTGGGACTAAGTCCCTTGTACTGCGGTCACTTCTGGCCTATTGTACCAGCCCCAGATGATAGGTGAGGGTGATTGTGGAGCAATTGGTGGAATGGAGATTGGCAGGGGAAACCGAAGTACTCGGAGAAAACCTGCCCCAGCGCCACTTTGTCCACCACAAATCCCACTTGACCAGACCCGTGATCGAACCCGAGTCGCCGCGGTTGGAAGCCAGCGACTAACCGCTTGAGCTATGGCGCGGTCAGACGACTTACTTGGCAACTGCTTAGTTGCAAACATAAGAACGGAACGCGAAAATTCACTGTCTCCAGCGTTCGTGAATGATGATGAAAGAAAAGTGGTCGCTGACTGGGGTGGTGTTGCAGGGCAGGTGCCGGCTAGACGCCAGCCCTCCGATCCGGACTCGCCACTCTTCACTCAGAGCTTCCTCACCTGCTTTCCGTGCGTGCTGAGCCCAGTGGTTGTCCTCAGGCTACTCCTGCATCGCCTTCTCACCACTGCCGCCCACCTCCAGCGCTGGAAGAGCTGTGCCTCTCGTTCCAGCTTCGCCTCTGCATCTGCTCATGATGCGCCCCGTAGTCCGCGAAGCAGAGCTTCGTCCACGGACACCGAACCCAGCTCTCTCAGGAAGAGGAGGAAGGTCAGTATTGAGAATTGAGAAGTAGATGTGATTCAGTTCTGCCCTATGGACGAGTGTGAGAACCAAAATCTGGTCCACTTTGTGGTGAAACGTGTCGTCTTCCTGTCTCACTTCCGGCCCCTCCGGCCTTCAACCTGAAATTTAATTACTTCTCTGTTTTGTTCCTGAAAACCTGTCTCTTATTTGTGCAGCCAACGACAGTGATCACCCCTTGCCATCAAAATACACGCATTGGGCATAATTTATATTAATACCTCTATCTCTTAAAGCACAGTGGTTCCTTCATGTTAACATCCAAAAACGTTGCAGTTGCCCACAGAGCGCATTTGTGTGTGTTGTATTTTTCTCAGAATCAACAACCATTCCTCTCCCAACAAACAAACAAAACAATCTGTGTCCTGTAGTCCGCAAGCGAACTATACTGCCCCCAGCGACCGCCGCTTGTCGGCGAAGTTAGTGCCAACATTTGTAGATAGGTGTCACGTGGTCAGCGCAACGGATCCCCACGGCCGTAAATTTCGGTTTTCTAGACCGGAGCCGCTATTTCCTTGAAATAGCTCCTCAGTTATCTTCAAGAGGCTGAGTGAACCCCGTTCCATACCGACTACTTCTAAAAAAAAGTCTTGTAGCCCCGGAAATCGAACCCGGACCTCTGGATCTGTAGCCAGTAACTCTGACCATTCCTCTCCCAACACAATCAATAGTTTATAATTTGGAAACAGTGTGTTTTCTGCTATATAGGAAGACTGTTTAACTACACCTCGACGTGCCACGTGTTTCCGCAGGTGAACCTCACAGTAGACTGCTCAGGGAACGAATCGAACGACGAGCCGCCAGTCCCTGGACGGGCCCGCACACTGCAACGGCTCTCACACCAGCAGATCGACCGTTCCTTATCTCTGGTGCCCCGCGACAGTGTGAGCAGCGTGTCTGGGCTGGGTCTGGAGCCCGCTGTGCAGGCCACTCTGTTTGCATTTTCACATCTCCTGCGAGGCGCCCCGTCCCACGAAAGCCTCCAGAGTGCCCCCAGCAGTGATGGCCGCAACACTCCGGTACCAGGATCTCCATCGGCAGTGATCAACTTGCCCATAATCAACCTCCACCAACACCACAAGCCCCGGACTTCCTTCCGGTTCTCAAGCCTCAGACACAGCAACAAGCGGCGATCCAAGTCGCACGCGAATATCGCCAAAGTGGCCCACAACGAGCAGCGCGACACGCCGGAGCAGGAGATCCTGGCATTTCAGAAGCAACTCCAGAACCTTCCAGACTTCGACTCTCCGGACCATCCCACGGACGGGCCCGGCTTCTCGGACCCCGCCACTGCTGCTTCCGAGTTCCTCGCCAACAGACCTTACCTCCGGCCTCGCTCCCGTTCCATGCCCCGTGTCACCTACGAGTCTTCGCGGTACCTCACCTTACCGGAAATTACGTGGTCTTCTTCCGGCGGTTCGGGTCGCTTGCACCGCGGCAGGTCCGCGGGAGCGCTTGGTCTGCAACAGGAGCACCACGGCGCCATGGCTTCGAGTAGCCCAACCACCACACCGATGGATGAGAAGGCGCCCCCTGCAATAGGGTTTGGGGGCCCCCCTCCACCGGGCACAACGCCCTGCGCATCGAACAGTCGGAGGAGCAGTCTGTCCCCCTCGGACCGTACCGGCAGAAGAAGGGATAGCCCCGCTTGCATCGTGGTAGAAGTGCCACCTTGGCACCGGGCCATCCTCAACTTCATAGAGGTAGGCGCTCCACTACAAGGACAACTCTAGCTAGTTCAGGTATCGTGGGCGTGTAGAAGGGCACTTTCAGATTGGGCAATATATGTCTCATTCCTTCAACGTGGCAATAATATAGACTGAGGGGCCTTCCGAGTTATGAGACCGCGTAGTCTGGTAGGCACCACTACGTGATGTCATGACACAGAAGACCACAGTCTAAATACTAACCACCGTGAAAACTCAAGGTCTTTCTCAACGTTCTACGAGAACAAAGGGAGAACGGCAAATGCAGGACGGTGGGATGGGTGGAACATGTAGCACGAAAGGGGAGTTGACGCGTACCCAGAAGGTATATCGCTTGGTAGACCTACGAACTGACGGAATGACATTGAACGATTCTAGAAGATCACCTGTTACTGACCATCCGTAACACCGCAGTCGTCACGAGTGCGTCATGGGCTGATAAAACGCGCCTCCCCGAAATCAGTTAACAGCATTACGAAATTTGGTCACTTTCTCGAATACTGTGCCTACAAAATAATCAGATAAACTCTGGAGACAATGAAATTTGCGCGGATTCGGTATTGTTTAATTACAGGTTCTTCCCTTACCCAGTAACGGCTGCGTATACTTGTTTATTAAAAATCTTTTGCCTAGCGACGAATTTTTCATAGTTTCAAGATCGTTACATAGTAACGGGCCTATTCATTCATGAACAGCTGTGCAGCCCTTTGTTGGGCCCTGGCCGGTTTTCAGTTTCTTAATCCTATACACAGTCGGTAGGACTCCTTGGACGGGGGATCAGCCCGTCGCAAGGCCTCTACCTGCACACAGGACAACACAAACAGAATAAACGCACACAGATATCCATGCCTCGAGTGGGATTCGAACCCACGACTCCAGTGTTCGAGCGGGAGAAGACGGTTAATGCCTTAGACCGCCCGGCCACTGCGATCTGTAGTTATTAATAGCGTCATTAAAGAAACACAAAAACTAAAATAAATCCATCCCACTCCATTGATGCTAATTAATGCAATATTATTGCCTATTAAGTGGATGAATTTGGCATGGAGCACACGTGGAAGAGGTGCCATATATATGCTTTTTGGAAACCCAATGAAAACAGACGCTTAATTGGTTCGTTTACATTACAACAGCGCACTGCCGGACTATTGTGAACATGGCAGTGAAATTTGCTGACCTACTGGGTGACTGTCAGCTTCTCAGGAAGAGTTCTGCCCCGAGAAGTTATATAGACATCCAGACCGGCTCAGTGGGTACAGGTGGTTCTCTCTCCCCGGGTGTACAGGTGTTAAGAATGCATGGAGCTATATCTCCATTCCCACATACGTCATAATGGCACGGTGCTTAATAAGCCCAGGCAAAACATTATATTATAGCTCTACACAGAGATATCAGACTAACAAACAGTATATTCTGAAAGTCTGCCTCCCATTTGCCGTATTGTGTGTTTCAAGTCTCTATGGGAGCCAGTGTAAAGGGGGGCAACCAGGACTTTTGGAAAACAGAATTAACATTGAAAATACACCAAATGTTAATAATAAAATTTACAATTGCTTTAAAATTGTTCTTTAATATTGAATAGAAGGAAATCCATAGATATGAACTTATACGGTTTAAACGTAAATTTGTGAGAATATTTTCTGCCTGCCCCCTTGAAAAGAACCCTGAGGATGTCCGTGTGAATCGCTTTGTGAGGTGGGCTAATGATCTGCTTGCAGGAATGGTTGCGGATATCTCGCGTGGACCTGGACAGAAACGCCCCTTTGTGTCGGGAACTCCGTGACTTCCTCACCAAAGTGTCTTCCTGTGGCGCCCCCTATCAACAGTGGTGCGCCGAACTACGCCTGGAATTCCCTGCGTTGGTAAGTTGTAAGGTTGCCTGCACTGAGTTTTATCCAGTAAGAGGCTCGGGGTAGCTCATATGAATAAGGGGTTGGATATGGGCTAAGTTCCCGGTAGGTGCAGAATTTTTCCTCTTAGCCAACAAATTGAGGCCATGCACTGCGGGGCTGCAGACCTGGTGGCGACAGACAGGACCGAACTCATGACGTCGTGCCTGTCTGCAGGAGCAGTCTTACCCTAACTGCTTCAGTACAGCGAGATATGCTCCCTTGACGTTGCAGACAGTGGCACTTGGTAGAAATCATGAACACCGGACATGATAGCTATTATATGGAGATCTGTTACCAGTTGGTGCAGTGTTGTCGTGTGCAGTGCCCAGCAACGAGCAAGTAACAACACTGGAGAATGAGTACACCACAGCCTTGCAACTGAGAGAGTCCACTACATGAGGGGAACAGCTTGTCGTTTGGGTTCTCTTCTAAATCGTACATTCTGTGTTTAAGGACGATTCGTACGTTCAAAAACTGCATAAGCTGATAACCTATACACTTTACAGATTTTTCAAAACGAAATGCCAAGGCACATCTTATTATACACGTATTATGTGTATTGAAATTAAACTCAGTCATCGAATTCGCCCATTTTTGTACAGAAATTGATGTTATTCTTCCTTCTTCGTCTTCCTCCACTTCGTTTTCTTCGATAACATAAAATAATTTCTTGTCTGAAGTTTTTCCTTCGACCCTCCGTCACTGTTGTTGTGACTACGTGGCCATGCGCAGAGTTCAACTCTTATAAAATGAAATACTGTACAAAAAGCGATCGTCACGTGACATGTAAGAGAACGAGTTGTGATGACACGTCATCTCTTCTCTGCAACGGACTTGTAATCACAACTGACAATGAGTGAGATTTTGTGTGTTGCTGTGCTTCAGCTGTCGCCTGGACAGGCAGGACTTCAGAGTTCATAGGAGACTGGGCAATTGCATTACGTCACCCTTCTGCTCAGTTGGTTAATTTTGTTTTTGACTGGTTAATGAAATCATTGTGCTTGTTCCGTATGGTTAGTTCGTTTGGTGAGCTACTTGGTTGGTTGGTTGGTTGGTTGGTTGGTTGGTTGGTTGGTTTGTTTCAGTTGTTTTCGAGTCGATTTTTGATTGAATGTTTGATTGGCTGCAAGAGTCATTGGTTAGTTCTTTAAAAGAATGAGGATTATTAGTGGAATGACCGGTTGGCTGGACGAATTTTTAATTTGTGGGATGAATGTTTTGTTCGTTATTTGGCTATGAGTTCGGTCATAAAGTCATTTAAAACGAAGTCCAGTAAAGGTTTAATCAGTCAAACAAGCCTCCAGCTGTGTATTGTACACTATTTTTCTATTGCTAGTGGGGTGGGACTAAGTCCCTTGTACTGCGCCCACTTCTGGTCTATTGTACCAGCCCCAGATGATAGGTGAGGGTGATTGTGGAGCAATTGGTGGAATGAAGATTGGGAGGGGAAACCGAAGTACTCGGAGAAAACCTGCCCTAGCGCCACTTTGTCCACCACACATCCCACTTGACCAGCCCCGGATCGAACCCGGGCCGCCGCGGTGGGAAACCAGCGACTAACCGCTTAAGCTATAGCGCGGCCATTTTGTACACTGTATGAAAGACTGATAGATTTAAGCTCACTCAAACATGCTGCATGACAGCCAGCTGCAATTAGCCTCACTGTGATTGGTCGGTCTCTTTCAGACACGTGATCCTGACCTGGAAAGTGGCGACGACCTGGAGGAGACGGATCGGGAATACTGTCAGGTACTGCTGCCACCTTTTACCCATATTCTGAACTATTTGAGCATGACTTCGAGGAGAGCGGGATGTAGCAGTTGGGCTGTGTCTAAGCCAATTTTCATGGATAGTATCAAACTGTGGAACGCAGATTATGGAAGGCCTGGGCGACGCATAAGTATTCATAAAGTGGCAGCTTAGTAATCAGAGGCATATGAGATCTGTTGATCCGGGACTATCGCAGAATTCGAAATTATCGTAAAAGTTTCCTGCCTCTCATTGTTAGACATTGTTGTTACATAAATTCGAAATGCAAAGCGTACAATAACTAACCCAGGTGACATATAAAAGACTATCACTACATCGCAGCAGCGTAATTGCTTTAGGCTCTGTGCTACAAACTGGAAGGTCATCAGGTCACAGGTTTTCGTAATTTACCTAATCCACTATGGCCCTGGGGCCGACTCAACCTCTAACACAAACGAGTACCAGGAATCTTCCTGGGGGTAAAGGCCCACCGGAGCTTAAGGCTGACAACCTTACCGCCGTCTGTGAGCCGATTGTCCAGAGAAAATGTGGGAATCTCGACGTCTCACAACCATATGGGCCTTCACTTTCTGTTACACGAATAGCTTTACCTTTTATTACCGCTCGCCTGTAGCAGCCCTGCTTTGTGTCTGTTGGCTTTACGAACAGAAATTCGACTTGGTGATCGCTTGCCTTATCTGAGGCCTTTCGCTTCGCGTTCCCGAAATCTTTCAGCCAAACTCCGGCGAGTATATTCAGCTAGACTCCGGGTAGTCATTTTTAATTCTTCTGGAATCGTAATTTGTAATCCTGCAATCATTTCTCAGTGCACACGTAAGAGCAGACGGAGCGACTTTTGTGCAGCAAGTGGCATAGCCGCAGAGACAGATATGTGATATATAAATATAATTCCATGTAAAGTGTTCGGAATTCTGTTTGTTACCTATGTGGTTGCATTACAAATGCGGAGAGACTTATCAGCGGAAATACTGCTCACTGTTGATAAGACGTGCATCTCCCAGAATGATACAGAAGCACAGTACAGTGTCTCATAGGGAACAATCAAGAACCTACGAGACAGTAAAACTACAGTTCTCAAAATAGAAGGGTTACAGAAATTTTCCGTGCTCTTTTTGCATTAAGAGAATTGCGCACGGCATAGTTCTTCCCCCTCTCCCCGCAAATTTTGCAGCCACTCAAGAATTTCCCAGCATTTTATGAAACCCGAAGGTTCATTATCGTGTTCACAAGAGCCCTCCGCGCGTCTCCATCCTGAGCCAGATCAATCCAATTCATACCATCCCATCCTATCTAAGATCCATTTTAATATTGTCCGCCCATTTACGTCTTGGTCTTCTGGTTTAAATTTCTATAGTTATCTTGTACAATATTTATGCTGAAATACCGGCATTTTGCCTCGGGTCTTAGTGAACACGTTTGTAAAACCGCTCTCCCTCACCGGCAGACATAAGAATGGATGGACTCGTCTTATTGGCCGCAATTCCAGAAGCACTTGTCTCTGTCTTAAAGAGATCGAGATGTTTTTGTAGTGGGCTTCACTTTAAATACACTTTAAAGAAACAAATTTCGAGAGATCACTTAATACTAGGAAATGTATCGATGGTGAGAAAGGAGTTCTTGGATTATTTTTAAATAAGAATAACAACCCAGCGTTTCTTCACCAGAACTGCTTCGTTTGTATATGAAACATTGACTGAAGTCGTGTAAGCATTTGCGGTTTTCGTAACTACTTAACCAAAGGGCAACGACCGCATAAATATGCCAACCTCCCTGTTTTATAGTTCTGCAAATGATCAATAACATTTCTCAAGGAATACACTTCCGTTTACGCCTGAGCGTGCGTGAGGAGGTTGTCCAATGTCTCCTTGCCCAACCACAGTCCGCACGTTAGCACAGCACGTCTCTGCTCCGCCCGTTGCTACGTTCATGTGCGCACATTTCTTCTGTACCGAAACCGTCTGCAGATGCCCGGTAAAGCACAGTCTGACGAGACAACACAGAGAAACCTGGACCCAGCTGCAACGTTTCTGACTTGTGTTAGGTAGAACGTCTCTGCGAATCTCGACCGGTACACCGATTGTCCTGACTGAAGTTCTCGTCGTTTCCTTCAGTCCCTCCAGACAAATTTTTGCACGCCCTTTAAAATTCATTACTGGCCCTCATTCAGTCATTTCTCGCTACCGCATGTGCGCATGTGCGTAACTGAGGCGGTCTATACATAGACGACGAACAAAGGAGTACATGAAGAAAGCAGTCTTCTGGGACGTGGCAACGTGTAGATGTGGTATTAACCGACGTTTCGGAGGAACGTATCGCCTCCATCTGCAGACTGGTCTGCTTGTACCTGTTCCTCACGGTCTCTTCGCTTGCGGATTTCTTATTCTTCCTTCTATCCTGAACAGGGAGGCGATACGTTCCTCCGAAATATCGGTTAACACAATATCTACACGGCGCCACATCCCAGAAGACTGCTTTCTTCATAGTCACCGCCGGGAAAGCCTCAAATCTTACAAAGGAGTACAACATATTTTCGTTCGCTGCTACAGTTATTAAGACGGTTTGTTTTCGTGTGAAATTAGTGCGCAGAGAATATGTAGATCAATGAGCTCTATAAACCCTGAAAATGGACCAAGCAAATCATTCCACATCCCCTTTATATTCAGAACGGCCGACCTCCTCCAGGAGTACAGCTCTCCTTCCCGTATACCACCTCGAGAATGCAATGGAGCTGTACAGACACATCAGTGGCGCGTTGTCTGTTCGTGTTTGCAGATTCCGCGTGCATTCAATTTTCGCCATTCAACAATAAAATTTCGCAACATGGCCATTTTTCTAATGTTTAACTTTTAAAAATATTTCGTGTACTATTTTTAGTACGTTTAAGCTCTATCGTCATACAGAAGTCCGCAGACCTGGCTTAAATTGGTCGTTGGTTCGTGGCCGGGCCATTTATATAAGCCACACGTGGACTCAATAGAGGACACCCCTCGCCAAGGTTCGATCTCACGTGTTCGGCAATCCGTTTCGTCTCATCCGTTGTTACTCAATGACAGTTCGTTGCTACGATTTGTCGCTGCGGGAACTCCCCAATTTCCACGTGTCCGTTGCCGTGGAAGTGTCCGTTCCGGTTGTAGCGGTTGTCGCGGCGATGGGCGTAAGGTAACGCGTCACAGCACTATTTATTATTAATGTTTCATTTCTTCCTCTCTTTCTTTGCAGGTAAAGGACTTCCACTTACAAGAATTGAGGCGCGGCATGAGGTACTGGACTGAACTGTTTTCTTTAACATAGCAGTAGCTTTCCTTTCGCCCGCGAAGTGTACGGAGTTCTATTGCTAAACGTGATGCACAAAACTGGGATTTGGAGGAAGGTGATACTTATACTGAAGCTGTAAAGCTTCGTTTCCAAGATATGCGTGCCATAAAATTGCGTCTTTATCTCTTTCTCAGAAACATTAAAATCCATACTCATTTCTGTATGCGAACCTTTTCCGTGGCATTTTGGGCCGTTCTAAAAATATATATTAAGCACTTATAAACTCTGGAAAAGAGTGGCCGAAAATCTGGTTCACATCAGCAAATATTTACAGATCACTGGGCCTGGAAGGGATGAAGTAACAGGGGGTGGGAAACATTTCCTAAAGAGAAGCTGTAAGAATTGTATATGAGGGTAGCCAAACTGTGGAGGGTTTATGAGAAAGGAAATGAAGTGCGCTTGGAGGGATGTTAAGGAAGTACCAGAGTTGAAGACTGGGAACCCAGAAGAGAAAATACCGCATGGGGAGAAGTCGCAAGTGAGAGGATAATATTAAAGTTAATCTTTAAACATATATCTCATTAGGTTGGTTATTTAGAGACGCTATTATTTTCATCACCACATGACGCCGAAAATTACGCATTGGGGTTGAGACTGAGTGCAAAGTCCACTGACAGTGTTTCTGATGTAACAGAGTCAGCAATTTCACTGGAGTGACAAATTTCTTAAGAAGGTCTGTGCTCCCGAGGGTTAGTCAGGTTTCCCCTTTATGAATATAGAAACCTGATCAGTTCTCGTCTTAACATTAACAGCACCTCTCCGCCTAACTATAGCTGGTAGGTGGTAGGGTGTCTGCTGCTTGCTGACCTTTATATCAACCTATAAGCTCCTCGGTAACGAGAACCCCGCCACGGGGCCCAGTCCAGAACTAGATAAATCCACGCCCTTTTAGTGGTAATAAGTCTTGTGCTTATATTTTTCTTTATTGCTAGTGGTGTGGGACTGAGTCCCTTGTACTGCGGCCACTTCTGGCCTATTGTACCAGCCCCAGATGGTAGGTGAGGATGATTGTGGAGCAACTGGTGGAAAGAAGATTGGCAGGGGAAACCGAAGTACTCGGAGAAAACCTGCCCCACCGCCACTTTGTCCACCACAAATCCCACTTGACCATACCCGGGATCGGGAAGCCAGCGACTAACCGCGCGGCCCTTGTGCTGATATTACTCATGTCGTTGTCTGGATACGAAACAGTGAAGGACACTCATTGGTTTATGCATGGTCTCGTAGAAGAAACGGGGCAACTGCACAGAAGAAAAGAGGACAAACATAAAGATTTTGTACAGTGTCTAACAAAAGTCCGAATTGAATTTTGTTTTGCTGTAAATTTTCAATGCTTTGTGGGGGAAAATTGTAAATTAAAATCGACAATTTATTTCTTGCAATCTTTAGATGGTTTATTTCAGTTAAGTGAAAATTATATCCTCTAAATATATTCCATCACTGTTTCATGAAGTGACATTATCCGTAATTCTGGTGTTAATTTTATTTCGTTTCTAAGTTTGTGTTTAAACTATCGCCGTATCTCAGTTTGTTGTATGTAACCACGCAGAAGTGAACTGGAACAGTCAGGTCAGGTGATCATGGCAGCCAAAATGTACGTCCAAAGCGCGAGATTACGCCATTTTGAGAAAGAACAAATTTCCCACTTTGCTGAATCATGTGCT